TATCAGACTTATCTCTGCCTTAGATATCACTTTAATTTAATTCTCAGAACAACCCCTCAGGGCATGTATTCTTATCTGAGATTTCTGGATTCGGAAACTGAGGCTCAGAGAATTACAGTAACTTGCCAAAGGACACACGGCCAGTAGACTGGGACCTGGAATCTGAACTCAGGCTTGCCTGCTTAGAAAAAAACGCTTTTCAAATCCCCTTTTCTTCCCTAGTTCTGCTTCTGATTATGAAAGCAATTCAGGCACGTGGGAGAATTGGGAGAGTTTAGGAAGGTATAAAGATGAAATTGATAAATTCATCTACAAAATCACTGCTCAGAGAGAGCCCTTGGAAACACCTTGGAAAGAATTTCCTTTAACATTTTTCTACATATATGCACATGCACATTAAAGTTTTACAAACTGAGACAATATGAGCATGGCTAGTTTTTCTTTCCTTTTTTTTTTTTCTTTTTTTTTTTTTTTTTTTTTTTTAACCCTTATAGCATTAAGCATTAATAGTTCTCTAAAACAATGCTATGACAGGCTGGAGAACATTCGACATAATTCACTCCTGCCCTTCTGACCACTCCGGGCGCCAAGTGAACCTAAGCAAGCCTTAACTGGCTTCTCTCTCCTTCCCCTCTGCTCCCCTAGCCAGATCCCCAGCCCGAGGCTTCCAGACGCTGCCACCTGACAACCAAGAGATCCCTCAAGACCCACATGTCCTCTGGACTAAAGTTTCACCCAAAGTTTGCTTCAGTGACCTTTCAAAATCACTTTCTGTTGCCGTCTGGGACTGGACCAGAGGGCGAGGAAGCAGCACCGACTGCATGGTAGTTGAGAGCATGGGTTTTGGAGTCAGGTGGACTTGGTTTGAAGCCCAGCTTTCTCTCTTACTAGTCATCTAACCTCAAACATGTTACTTAGTTTATCTTAACCTATAGAGCGGGGCTCTTGTGAGTGACCCGCGGTGTCTCGGCTGTAAAGGCTGAGCCGGGTGCCTGGCAGGGAGGGAGGGCTGACAACCCACGTGGTGGCGGAGGGCCATACTATCACTGCTGCTGTTGGGGTCCAGATGTGATGGATGAGGTCCCCACGTGCCATCATGCTTCCGCACCTTAGAAGCAGGTCGTGTGGAAGGGCTTTCACTGTCACTGGAAGAGATTTCTAAGGCCAGAGGGAGGGCTGCATCCCTGAGTAGGTTTTCACGTTCGAACTGCCATCAAGGTTTCCCAGAAGGGCCTGGTTGTACCGCAGAGTCCGGACCTGCCTGCCCTCGGCTGGGGCTCCTTAGCTCTGGCCACCGCAGAGCCATATTATGAAGGAGTTCCAGCTACTTCCTTTCCGACAGCCAAGCCTGGCTTTTGGACAGGCTAAAGGTGGCAAAGGTGCATGGAATTGTTCTGAGCTGCCGCCCAGGGACTGGAAGGTGCTGAGAAGTCAGAGCCCCTGGGTGTATAAGATAATGCAGAGCTCATGAGGAAAGGCTCCCTGATCTGGTCAAACAGAAATCAGCGGAGAAGGCACAGCCCACATTCCTGCGACCTCTCCAGCCATCCACCGACCAGAGCCCCTCCGTGACCCTGCTTCCTGTGGAGACAGCAGTGTGGTCCTGGGGAAAGGATGAGGGGCTCTGAAATCCGGAGAGGCAGGCGGGTCCCTGCGTTCCTGCCCTGCGCAGGGTTCCAGACCTGGGCACGTGGGCAGGTGAGCTAACTGGCTGACCTCCATACCAAGAAAGTGAAAGAGGTGTATGTGCCTCCTGGGAGGCTCGGAAGATGAAATGCCGCGGTGCCTGCGGATCGTCCACCAGCAGGTGACCACAGAGCACACGTGGACTGCCTCCCCCTGATCCTGAGGGATGCAAAGACAAGGTTTGAATTCTGTCCAGAGGGATTTCACAAGAATGTGATAATGGGTCTTTTCTCTTAATAATTTTCAAGAAGTCTTGACTGTTAGAATTAAAGGGCTTAAGTGATTCTTTCCTTGGAGATCACCTTTTTGGCCCATTTCACTTTTCAGAAGAGTAAACTTAGATCTGAGGTCCCAGGTCCCCCAGAGAAGGTAGTGTTGGTCCAAAGACTAGGGGAAAAGAAGAGGCAAAGACCAGTTTCGATCCCCTGACATCACGAAGGGAGGAAGAAACAGACTGTTCGGAGCCAATGGTAATTAACTCATTTCTTTTTGGCCCTCTTATTGCTTCTAGAAGCAATTAGGTCTCACAAACCCTCTCTCCCACCTCCAGTCACTGCATAAAACTGTCA